CATAGAAAGCCATTTAATTTTACCACTAGCTTATAAACCTCTGCTTGGACACTTCCTTGTTGATGCGTAAAAGTTGTTAATACAGGGGCTAGAGATTGGAAATCTTCTTCTACTTGATCATCCCCAATGATTGAAGTGCTAGCATGTTATGTTATTCGGTGTTCTTCCTTAATGGTTATAGTATGTACAATAGGTGCTAATGTGCTAATATTAATTGTAGGCCCTTTTCAGCCTGACTATCTACAGCCGCATTAGTAGGGGCTATTATTGGTTGCTCTGCAATGGCTACAATATCTACGTGCTCTATTATTGTTTGTTGTCCCATTCCAACATGAGTATCTACAACAACGTCTACTATTATTTCTTTTGAATGTTCAATATTTACAGGCAATTCTTTAGCCCTAACGGCTGGAGTATCTAAAATATCTACTGAATAATGCTGATCAACAACATCCTTTATTATATTTCTTCTCTTAAAATGGAATGTAGTATAAGGGGTACTCAACTCCGTCTTAATTCTACTTCTTCGGCCCTTAACCCTTTGAATTAAGTTATCAATGGAGTGTTGAAGGGTTCCCTTTTCTTGCAACTCGCTGTGTTCAACGTCAGCGGTGGATTTGTGGATTCCCATTTCCCGCAACTTATTGTCTCCATTAGCATGGGAGGATTGGTGGGTTCTTTGTTCATTGATCTAAAGGTATTCGTCAACAGGAGACGACTGGTGTGCTCCCTCTCCGTTGAACTTATTGACTTCATCAACAGGGGAGGATTGGTGGGTATCCTTTTCTTCCATCACGTTGCCTTTATCATTTTCTATTTTTTTTCCTAATTTTTGAACCTTCATCTAGAATTGAGAGCAAATGACACTCATCTTCTTTCAAATCCAAAAATCTATCAAAAACCTGCAATGAAATTTTGAATTACCGCACATTCATAATTAAAGATCTATTAACACCACATGACAAACAATAAAATAACACGAAGATAACATCAGAATAACACACAATGAAACAAAAAGAGTACACCCTGAATAACACCTAAATAATACCAAAAAAAACACCTGAATAACGAAAAAAACACCAAAACACCACCATAAAAACATCTAAATAACACCAAGAAACACCTAAATAACACATATATGTCACGATCATATTAGAGTAACAGCTACGTGATCATACAATGATAATACCAGAAATAACAATACCAGACAACACCTAACTAAAACACCTACAATAAGAGAAATAACACCACCAAACCAACATAATAGCAAGAACCATAATACCTAATTAATCTTCTAAAGATATAAGTTTAATTTTGTCTCTTTCACAGGACAAGTTAGCCCGTTTCATTGTCCGTGTAACTCACTATGTTCTCATTGGACCTGAGAATTCTATCTAATTTGTTTTTCTATGAAAAAGAAGATAAGCACAGTTAACATCCACATGATTCTAACTAGAAGCCATTTATGTCTTCGCTTAAATTTGTGGGCCACCTCAACATTCGAGTTCTGGACTCAGGAACGGCAAGCATGAGCAAAGATGTATGTTTATAAAACTAGAGCTGTGTAAAAGATAAGTCATAATATGATTTGACAAAAAAAGGAAAATTTCATAAGGTTCTTACAAGGAAAAAACACTGACTGTTAGAAGAAAAAGAAAGTCATTGAGGTATCCCAAGGGCCGATTCTGCCTTATTTTAATGACTATCGCATTGATTTTATCAATGAGGAATTCACATACAGTAGCAGACTAATTAAATGAAGAGAAACTCTATACATTCTTGCCAAAGCTTAAAGCCCTTTGGGAACAGTAGAATTACTAGAAGTAAAAACTAAAATTGATAACAAAAACTTCAAAAAAAAATCCTTAAAAGGTGTAGAGCACTCCTCAGTTGAAACTTTCAATCTATCATTCTTTATGTTATGGCTATCCACAGGATAGTACAATAACACCAACATACAAAAGAAACACCACATAACAACAAAAAAACAACACAACTCTAAAAACACATAAATACACCAGAGTTTGAACTGCTCTAAATTAAAAAAAAAAGAATGTTAGCTAAAGATATAAATGACTTACATGTATAGAGTTGAGCCTCTTAAAGGCTATATGGATCTGCGAAGAGTTCCGGCTTAAATTTGTGGGCCACCTCAACATTCGAGTTCTGGACTCAGGAACGACAAACATGAGCAAAGATGTATGTTTATAAAACTAGAGCTGTGTAAAAGATAAGTCATAATATGATTTGACAAAAAAAGGAAAATTTCATAAGGTTCTTACAAGGAAAAAACACTGACTGCTAGAAGAAAAAGAAAGTCATTGATGTATCCCAAGGGTTGATTCTACCTTATTTTAATGACTACCGCATTGATTTTATCAATGAGGAATTCACATACAGTAGCAGACTAATTAAATGAAGAGAAACTCTATACATTCTTGCCAAAGCTTAAAGCCCTTTGGGAACAGTAGAATTACTAGAAGTAAAAACTAAAATTGATAACAAAAACTTCAAAAAAAAATCCTTAAAAGGTGTAGAGCACTCCTCAGTTGAAACTTTCAATCTATCATTCTTTATGTTATGGCTATCCACAGAAGAAGATGGAACTTTTTTCCAAGTTGTTGCTTCCCCTCTATTAGGCACACCTATCAGCAGGGTGACTTCATTATGGAGTATAATTAGCTTTTTCCCGCCTATTATGAAAACCAATCTTTCATAGTCCCAACATTTTAATAAATGTAGTGTCAAGATATTTCCTTGAGGATACGGAGGGAGATCAAAAAATTGATCTACATTCAACTCTTTCAAGTTATTTATGGTCTTCTCCGATAGGGAGGACATGACCTTATCAAGAACCACTCTTACTACAGATGACCGACATCTACAATTGAAGGATTGTGGGTTCATAAACCTACACAAGAAAGACAATGCAATAAATATAGTCATTTTGTTATCTATATATCAAACACATGAATACAACAACAAAATTACAGCGAGTAGAATAATACCAAAAAAAGATTTTTTATGTTATTTAGGTATTATTACAGTCTTGTTAAGGTGTTACTACAGTTTTATTAAGGTGTTTAATGTGTTGCGTTGTTTAAGGTTTAGGGTTTTGGTGTTATCATGATATTATTTTGGTATTATCATTGTGTTATTTCAGTATTATTAATGAGTTATTTCACTATTATTAATTTGTAATATCGGTGTTTTTCTCTGTACTATATTGGTATCATTTCAGTATTATTGTAGTATTAGTTTGGTATTATTTACCTAATACTATGGATTTATTATGGTATTATTTTGGTTTTATTTTTTGTTTTATTTTTTTTCTTAACATATTATCTTGGTGTGATTGGGTGAAAGTGTGGTGTGATTGGGTAAAAGTGTGGTATAATTGAGTGACTTTGGTTTTCCTTTTGGTGATACATTTTATAATTTGAAAAATGGACGAAACTACTGCAATGCAATGACTTTAGAATGCAAGTACAAGCACAAACAAACTTAGTAAGATGAAGTAGATTGACTCTTTGGTCGTTTGCCTTCATTCTTCTTATGCTTTTTGGTTTCCATTTTTTAATGCTCTTTAGTTTCCATCCTCTTAAGGTCTTCGGAATCAATCTTCATAGATCCTCGGTATCGAATATATCACTAGCTATGTGATTCACGCAATGGATATTCTTGACGATGGTGAATGCGGAAGAAGCAATGCTCGAATAGAAGGAAACCCTAGGGGATGGTGAATGAGGAAGAAATGGTTCTCGAGGCCCATTCAATGGTTTAGTTTTCAATGCAATGATCCTAACATTTTAGAACAGGTGCATTTAATTTTCGACGTTTTGGCTACATGGGCGGGAACCAAGCCGATTCGCGGGGTAAAAAAATTGCTATTTCTAGTTTTTTAGGAGGTGGGACCCACAATGCCACGATGCTGATTGCAATTGGCGTATGGACACAATTTTGCGTCAGGTGTCCTGACTGAATAATATTTCGGTAAGGACCTTCATTTTTAGCTCAGTTCTCTTTCTCTCTCTATGTATATACATACATAAATAAATATAATACATATATATATATATATAGGAAGATATACAATTCTTATGAATTTACATATCTAGCTAGTACCTATACCTCATTTTTTATATTTATATACTTGCCACCTTCTATATGGATGAAAATGTTACATCTCTCTATGCATGAATTATATTTTACTTTTTTAAAGTTAAAGTGGTATTTTTTGATGTGATATAAAAAAAAAAACTAGTGGTATAAATGTGAAAATTAATGTTTAAGTATACTCTATGCATGAATTATATTTTACTTTTTTAAAGTTCAAGTGGTATTTTTTTGATGTGATATAAGAAAAAAAAACTAGTGGTATAAATGTGAAAATTAAAGTTTAAGTATAAGATCTGCAAACACATAAGAATTGGGTGATATGAATGTAAATGGTTCATATATATATATATATATGAGTCGCTGGCCTCGGCCTGTTGGATAATATTCTCGGTATAAGACCCCACAAATCGGCGGTTCGAATCCCTTCTGGCATTTCCCATCGAGTACTTCACACATAAATTTGTTATTGTCTCTGCTTCTTTTGCCATGCATGCCAACAGTTTCATAACAAATAAGGTCCTTAACTTTCACATAACAATGCATTTTATTTAGAAATGAGGTATTCCTCTTGGAAAATAAAAGAATTAGTTGAGCTTCTTCCTCTATTTATGTGAAAACTTTACTATTGATTAAAAGTTAAGGAATTCATTATTTGGAGACGTAACAAGTCTAGTACTTTGCTTGACTATAAACAATCATACATCAATATGCTAATTTAAAAACTAGTCAAAAAATTTTCATACAAGAATCTATAAAGCGAGTTCAGCAACCATAATGATGTCCAATATAAGAAGTATATACAAATATCACAAATTAATTCAAGCATAGAAATGAAATACTAACATGTAACTTTGTGCAAATTCCTTATTCAATATGTATAGAGGAACAGGAACTGGGAGCAAGAACTTGAGAAGGCACAGCAAGAAGTCTCTATTTGCCTTAAACAATTAGAAGCAGCTGAAGATGCAAAGACCAAAGTGCTTCAAGAGCTTGAAATAACTAAGCAGCAAGAAGAAGAGCTAACACTCCAGCTTGAGAAAGCTCAGATTGAGGAATCTCAGGCACAGCAGGACTCTAAGCTAGCCCAACTCCGTGTTAAGGAGATTGAGCAAGGAATCGGGAAGGAAGACAGTGTGGCAGCCAAAGAACAACTCGAAGTAGCGAGAGCTAGGTGCTTGGAAGCAGAGAGTGAGCTGAATTCTGTGCGAGTTGAGCTTGATTCATTGAAGAGAGAATGCGAGCTGTTGATCACAGAGAAAGATATTGCTTTTAAGAAAGCTGAGGAGGCAGAATTTGCCTCCAAAACGATTGAGAGAAGAGTTGAGGAGCTTTCAGTTGAGCTCATAAATATGAAGGAGGCAGTCGAATCTGCACAGGTTTTGCATCTCCAAGTAGAACAGCAAAGGTTTAATGCAACAATGGAAAAGGAGCAGGAGGCCAAGAATTGGGAGAAGGAGATGAAGCAATTACAGGAGAAGCTGGAGTTCCATGAACAAATCCTTTCTGTTTTGAATGATGTTAAGTTGAAGTTTGACACAGAATCTGCTCTACTGATCTCTCTGAAAGTGGAACTGGCTGCATATGTGGATGTAAAACACAGACAGGAGGCTGAGAACGTTGCAGAAGAGAAGCAGAATTTAGCACAGCTAGGCAGTGATGAAGCAGTACTTACTAAAGCAGAGAAGGAGCTAGAAGAAGTGAAGGCTTACATCCAGAAATCGAAGGAAGAGGTCAAATCTCTGAGAATTGCAGTATCTTCGCTCAAGTCTGAACTGGAAAAAGAAACCAGCAGCTTGGCTTCCTTAAAACAAAAGGAAAACACCTCAATTATGACAATTTCTTCTCATCGATCCCTGCAGGAGAAGAACCAAGCTGAACATGAGGAAGTTCAAGCAAAACAGACAAGAACCCCCCAAGGGATGAGACAGTTTCCACAGGAGTTGTTAGACAGAACTGAGGAAGCAGATCAGGCCAAATCCCAAGCTCATTTTGCACACCGAGAGCTAACAAAAGTCATGGAAGAGGCAGAGCTAGCTAAGGCTAGTGCGAGCACAATGGAGCTCCGGCTTCAAGCAGTTTTCAAGGAGATTGAAGCTGCCAAGACCTCCGAAAAATTGTCACGCGATGCAATCAAAGCTGTTGAGAACATCCATGAAGTATTGACCATTCCCTTGGAAGAGTACAATGCCCTCAGCAAGAAAGCTAATGAGGCTGAGAAGCTCGCAAATGAGAAATTGATCGCAGCTGTGGATCAGATAAAAGCAGCCAAGAGAACAGAATCAATGATCCGACAAAAATTAGAAATTTCTTTTAAGGAGAAGAAGATGAAAAGGGAGGCCTTGAGAGACGCTACAGAGAAAGCAGAGAAGGCTAAAGAAGGAAAGCTGAAGATGGAACAGGAACTGAGGGAATGGAGAGCTGAGAATGAGCAGCGCAGGAAGGCCAGTGAAGCTGATGCTTCTTCTAAAGGACAGCCAATGAATGTGCGTTACTTCTGGAAGAGCTTTGACGATGGCAGAGATATAAATGGTACAGATCCAGCTTCATCTGCTCTTCGTGTAAACTCAACTCCGAATCCCAACAGAAGTTATTCAGTCAATCAAGGGCATGTTTCTGTTTCTGTTCCTGAGGGGAGGGCAAGAAAGAAAAAATCTATCTTTCCGCGAATAGTCATGTTCTTGGCCGCCATGAAGAAGGCGAGGTCTTCCAAGTGAATTTGCTGTGAATCACGAAGCTGTTTTATAGGTTGAATTCAGTTACTTCGGAAGAACAAATTCTGGATCTTATCTGCAAGAGTTTTTGCGGGAGGGAAGGACATGAGAAACAATAATTATTGTTTTTCATTATTTATATCTTCGTTTTTTGAAATTTTTGGACTGAATTTCATGCTCTTATTTTCTCTACAATTTATTCTGATTGGACGTAATTCCATACTGTCTATCCCTAATTATGTATTCACCAATTATACTCTGAGGGAACACTGGTCTGTTGAAATTAGAAGATTAGATCTGAAAAATGATGAATTTATTGGATTTTATTATCTACATGAACAAAAATATTAAGAGCGGCATTTACATACATGTCACACAATCATGATAAATTTAATATCTAACTAACGCCTAAAATTTTATATTTACATTTATAATCCTCAAATTTTTAACATCACATCAAAAATATCATTTTAACCAATTTTGTAAAAGTGAAATACACCTTTTTTTGTATATAGACTTATAATATGAATGATGAAAATGTTAAACTTTATTGATAGGTATGTTAATCCATAAGAATTGTGAGGTACTTATGTAAATTTTCCAAAAAGGAAAATTGAATTTGAACTCAAGAAATAGTTTTAAAATTTCCAAGAACATAAGTAGCCGGTCTTACATAAAGTTTGGAATTCCTGGCCCCCACCATAATTTGACTTTAAATCATATCATTATTTACATTTATAAGTTATATTTTGTTATAATTTGAGAGTAAAACCATCTTCTAATGATATTAATCATTAAACATATTTCTCAATGATACAATTATTATTTATGTAACAAAAATTTGTGTTGTTAACACTTTCTATTTAACAAATTTATTTTAAAACTGTACAATTAAATTAACTTTCAGCCGTCTTATATGTTTGTGAAGCAAAAGTTCAATCAGAAAGAAGTGACCATTTTGATGATCAGAAGAACAAAAATATTTCCATGAAGACTCTTAGTCTGAACAAATAAAAAGAAAGAAATCTTGCATTATGAGAATGAAGTTATCTGATCTCTTTATTATGCACATCATTCAATAATATTGGATATGGCCGAGGGGAGACTCTTCTGATATGTTTATCATTCATCTTAGAGAGGTTTACTTAATCAGGTTTTAAATCACTAGGAATCTTTTTCAAAAATTCAACTTTTTTTTTTATTCCTTGTGACCCCCGATAGGTGTTTCCATCAAATGCATTCATGAGTAACATCAAAATTTTATTAATAAGTATAACTTCGTTCAAAAGAGAAGCAAAAGAGAGAGAAACAGAAATAGAGAGAAGCTCTAAACTTTCATACAACAATAACAACAATAAAATTAAGATTGTTCTATTTAATGTTGTTGTTCTATTTAATGCTACATTATGTAATGTTGTTGTTCTATTTAATGCTACATTAAGGGCTACATACATCAATGTTGTTGTTCTATTTAATGTAGCCCTTAAACTTTTATACAACAACATTCATGTAGCCCTTAAACTTTCATACAACAACAACAATGCCCTTAGTGTACATGATTCCTTTTTCTCCATTGCATCCTATTTAGTGTCGTATTTTCATTTAGTTCTAGTAAATTAAGATCATTTTTTATACAATAAGCCCAAGTCTTCCTAGGTCTACCCTTGCCTTTCTTAACACAACTCAAATCTAAAACATCTACTCTCCTAATCGGATCATCAGATGGTCGACGTTTAATGTGACCAAACTATCTAAGACGACTTTCTCTAATTTTGTCTGTCACAGGAGCTACACCAACCCTATCACGAATATATTCATTTTGCATTTTGTCTCTAAATGTAAAGCCACTCATCCACCTAATCATTCTCATCTCGACAACACTTAACTTATACTTAAGCTTCTCTTTTAAAGGCCAACATTCAACGCCATAGAGCATTGCAAGTCTCACCACCGTCTTATAAAATTTTCCTTTCAGTCTAAGCGGTACTATTCTATCACAGAAAAGGCCCGAAGAATTCCTCCAATTCAACCAACCAACTTGAATTCTCCTATTAACATCCCCATCTATATCATCACCGCTTTGAACAACATACCCAAGATATCTAAAACGTTCACACCTTTCAAGAATTTGATCACCCAAAGTCACACTTTTGTCACTAGAGCTACTACTACTAAAATTACATTCCATGTATTTAGTTTTAGTACTACTTAAAAGAAGGCCTTTAGACTCCAATGTAGACCTCCACAATTCAAGTTTTTCCTGGGCTTTTTCTCTCGTTTTATCTACGCGAAGGATATTATCAGCAAAAAGCATACACGAAGGTACATCCTCTTATAGATGTCTAGTAAGACCATCCATAACTAAACCAAAAAGATATGGGCTTAGAGCTGATCCCAGATGTAATCTAATAGAAATAGTAAATATTTGGTAAATCCTCCTTCAGTTTGAACACAAGAAACAACTCTAGTATACATATCTTTAATGACTTGAATATAAGTCATATCAACACCTTTCTTCTCAAGAACTCTCCAAAGGATATCTCTTAGAACCTTATCGTATGCTTTTTCTAAATCAATAAAAATCAAATATAGATTCTCCTTATTATCTCTGAATATCTCCATCAATCCTCTCAATAAATGTATAGGTTCCATAGTTGACCTGCCCGACCTAATTCTAATTTGATTAAGAGAAATCTTTGTAATGCGTCTTAACCTATGTTCAATTACCCTCTCCCATAATTTTAAAGTATGACACATCAACTTAATTCCTCGATAATTTGCACACTCTTGTGCTTCCCCTTTATTCTTAAAAATGGGGACCAAAATACCCGTCCTCCACTCCTCATGCCACTTTTAGTTTTTAAAATAATATTAAAGACTTTACTAAGCCAAGAAACACCAAATCTTCTAAATATTTCCACACTTCAATTGGGATATCATCAGGTCCTACAGACTTTCCACCCTTAGTTTTATTTAAAGCCTCCTCAACTTCTTTTTCACTAATGTGATTGTAAAAATGAAACATTTTATTATTATTCATGATATTAAGATCACTAAGGTCGATCGTATTTTCAGAAACTTCATTAAAAAGTTTATCAAAATAACTCACCCACCTATGTGGAATATCTTTTTCTAAGAAAATTAATTTTTGATTTTCATCTTTAATACACTTTACTTGAGTTAAATCTTTACTTTTCTTCTCTCTTTGTTTGACTAGTTTATACATGTGTTTTTCACCCTCATGAGGGACACTTAGTACCTAATCCATTATAAAGATTATTAAAAATAAAATTTTTAGCATCACAGATTGTTCTTTTGGACTCCCTGCGGCCCATTTCATACTTTTCCTAGTTCTCTAAGCTTTTACATTTAAACCAACTTTTCTAACATAACTTCTTATATTTTATCTTTTCTTGCATATTGTATCTTTTCTTGCACATTATTATTCCACCACCAACTATTTTTATTTATAAAAAAATTTCTGTTGATTATCCAAGCACATATTTTGCTACTTTTTTAATAGTGTTTGTTACTTTATCCCACATAACATTTGCTTCTTCATGAACATCCCAAATTTTGAAATCTTGAATTTTACTCATAAAAATAATTTTATTTGTGTCTCTTAGGTTCCCCCATCTAATTATATGATGATGAGTTGTAGTATTCTTTATTTTACAACTCTTCATCTTAAAATCTAGAACTAATAAATGCTGTTGGGTACATAATTCTCACATGGAATGACCTTACAATCTTTATAATCTCGATGATCTCTTCTTCTCACAAGAAAATAATCAATTTGTGTTTTAATAGATCTACACTTATAAGTAATCAGATGCTCATCTCTTTTCTTGAATAAATTATTAGTAATAACAAAATCATACGCTAAAAAAAATCTAAAATAGCTCTACCTTCTTCATTAGTTACTCCAAAATCGTAGCCACCATGAGTATATCTGAATTCTTCTACCACTCTACCTACATGTCCATTTAAATCTCCTCCAATAAAAATTTTTTCTTCAAGAGGTAACATTTGTATTAAGTCTTCTAAGTCATTTCAAAACTTATCTTTAGACCTTGTATCTAAACCTACTTGAGGATCATAAGTACTTATAATATTAAAAATCTTAGTATCAATGATAATCTTAAGGGCTATAACTCTATCACCAACTATATTAATATTTACAACATTATCTTTCAAACTCTTATAAATAATTACACCTACACCATTTCTAGTGCGACTCTTACCAGAATACCGATGTTTAAAACCTAAATTATCAATCTACTTAGCCTTTTCTCCAACCCATTTAGTTTCTTGAATACATAAGATATTAATTTTCCTTTTAATCATAATATCAACTAATTCCATTAATTTACCATTGAGAGTATCAATATTCTAAGATCTTATCCTAATATTAATTTCATTAGTTTCATGGACTACCTTCTTTACTTGCATTCATCCATAATATGGGAACCCTTGCTTATTTGACACTACACCTGGGAGCCGGTGTAGCGGCCCTTGCATACTTTTCACTATATTCAGGCTATACAACGCGTCGCTTCAAGGGGACGCCCTAGCTCTAAATTTTTATAATTGCAATAAAAAATGATGATTAAAATTAGAATACCATAAAATTTCTAGGAATGAGTCTGCCCTCAATCAAAATGCAAATGTGATTGTCGGCTCCGAAAATTCGTTGCCACAAACTCTCATTGTTGTTGAGAGATTTTTATTTGGTATTTCAGGTCAAAATTTCAGAAGGTGGTTAGAATTTTAGATAAGGAAATACTCATAGATATCACCCTCATTTTATAAAGAATTTTTTATATGGGATCCGAGATTTTCTATAGGCACAAACCCCTACAGTTAATTACCCTTCCCGATAATGGGAGATTACTTTTGATTAAGGTTAGTAAAGTACTAAATATTCAATAAAATAATAAAGGTAAATTTAGAATTTCATATTATAAAATTTATCACATTGAGCTTAAAGTAGATGGTAGGAAAATGATGATGAATCTGATCAAGAACTCAATGTTTCATCTTCTTGGGTCATCATTGTACATAATCTACTTTTTCGAGAAGGTAGTCAACCCAACCTAGCTAAAAGATCTTTCTCAGTAACCAAGGGTTGCATCATCCAATGAAATTTTATCGATATG